TATATATGTATGTATGTGTATATATATACGCGCGCGCGCGCGCGCGCGCGCGCGTGTGTGTGTGTGTGTGTGTGTGTGTGTGTGTATACGTATTATATATAATATATGTATACATATGTAAAGGCAAAGTATATACATATATAAATATACATATGTATACATGTGTATTCATATGATCAGCACGGAAACGGTGACCTTTCTCAATCGTGCCAGTCGCAATCTTAAAGACGGATGTGTACGCGACACATATCGTTTATCTGTTGCTTTGCAATCAGCACGTAGTTAATAATACTGAATACGACTTGAATACAAGTCGTATTATACCTTTGCCAGGTCACAAAGAAGATAGAAGATAGAAAAAAAAGAAGAGAGAGAGAGAGAAAGAGAGAGAGAAAGAAAGAGGAAATATTCGTAAAATAAATGATAATTATTTTTAATCCTTCATCTGCAATCTACATCTTTTTTGGCATAAGCAAAATTTAAGTCTCTCTCTCTCTCTCTTTCTTTTTCAAACTTTTCCAAAATATATCCATAATTAGTTACAGAATCGTTGACTTCCCGAGTGAAGGATTCGATGCATGTACATCGTCAATGATTCTGCATGCTTATCCACTAAAAACTCCTATTCTTGAGTCTAATTAATGATTAATGTAATTGATCGAAAAATCGAAAATTAAATGTGGGAAGAATAATTGACTATGATTGACTAATTTCTTACGGTTTACAGCTTTTATTTACACCTATTGTAGAACTGGAACTTAATATTTGTTATGACTTTTCATCGATTTACTCATTCGTTCACACTAAAGATAACGTATTGAAGATTAAAATGTTGTTTGTTCATTTAACTTTGTTATTAATTTATCGATTTATATACATATATTGGGTTTTTCAGATATATTAACGCAAAGAACCAGCTCGGTCCTCATCAGTCCTCATTTATATAGTATCTGTCGAATTATAATCTTATAAGTTAAAAAATATACATTTCTCAGTTAATTTTCTTTTTCAAAGAATCAGAAAGACGCGTACTGAGAAAAGTGTTAATCGATTATTTATTTAAAATTTTTATTTGCTTCTCTTACAAATGTCTCGATGCTTGTTAAATGTCATTCGCGACTAAGTACTTTTTCAATTTTTCAAGTAAAGATTATTAAAGTATTCTTAGCTCCGTCCTTACGAGCAAGCTCTTAAGGACAGTCGACATTCGCACGTAACGTCCGATATGAAAGTTGTAACGGACGGAGCAATGTAAAAACACCTTAGAGTCACGTTTCCGCGATGCGGGTGCATGATTGCATCTACACACGAGGTACACGTAAAGCATCGATTATTGATTCAGTTGTAAATAGACACGAATGATAAATTTATCAGTAGCGGGTGCCGTCCTCTACCTTGATATCCATACATGTCTGCCTGGTTTGTGAGTAGCCCTACAATTCTGTAGCGCAAAACATGAAACTTTGATGTCCTGTGGTTTTACACAATTATTTGAAACTTAAGCTGCTTGTTTCTAAATCATTTGCTTAAAATTTCAAAAAATTATTTAAAAAGTAATCAAGTGACGCTACAATATTATCTTTAAATGTGATCTTGAACATATCTTTAAATAATATTTAATAATATAATCATTTTAAATATTAACTACAGAACATATGTAATATTGTTAAATAACATCTTTTTATTCTTAGAGTACAAAAGTATATTTGACATACTGAAAACCACAGAATTTTTTTCTTGAAACAGATATCTGTTCTTATATGAAACAGCGACTTTCACCCAGGCAAGGAAACTTTCGAGACGATATCGTGTCGAAAATACCGATCAGTGTCAGGTAATGCAATTGGACCGTTCAACTTTCCATTGTCTCGGGATTTGAACAATTAGCGTGTGACAATCGAATTATCTTAGCGTTGTTATTAAAATCGATTCTAAGCGATGTGTTCTCAGCAAATTCAAATGGAAATCTGTTTATTCGCGAATCATGATTTCCATTGTATCGTATAAGATTAAAGAAAATTACTATCACTAAAATTACTACCACTAGATTAGAATAGGAAGACCCTAAGTTTCGGTTTCCTAAATATAAAATTTAAACTTTAAACTCCGCGGTTTAATTTACTGTTTATCTCTTTCTAATTCTTAGATTAGAAAAAGATAAAGCGAATTGAACTTCGATTAAATCGAGTAGTTAACCGAAGTTGAATTGTGAAATCGGGCTTTATAGACTGGAAATACAAGTGGACATGCAATGTCTCGAATAAAAAAATACCGACATCTGAAAAATGGGACAATGCACCAAAAATGTGAATCATGCAATTTCTATAAATAAACATAAAGGCATTGGGCATTGAAATGAATTCAGATTTTCACAAGTACGTATTCGCGAACGTTGAAATTAATTTTTTTCAATCTATTTTAATTCATTTTCGTTTACTGAATAGTGCAGAACATAATATGTATATGACACAGTATAATAGTTCGTACATACGCGCATGCAAAGAAAACGATATTGTAGTGACATCTTACATGAGGTATTAAGGTACAAGCTTGTGAATAAGATATCTTTATCAAAAGAGTATAAGAGCGAGGAAATTAATATTTAGTTAATTTTATCAGAAGAAGATATTGCAGTGAAATCAAGATAATAACGCATAATATTATCGTTGATAAAACACATAAAATTTATCGATAAAAAATTTTTTGGCATTAACTTTTTAATAATTCATAATGTTAATTGTCATACATTCAAAATAACATATATATTTAAAACAATATACATGTGTCTAAAAAATATATATGTATATATATAAAATTAGTATAAGTCTAATAATTAAGGACCTGCAATCTCATCTTCGATTAATTTAAGCGGATGATTATTTCATTGGATTTGACCAATCGCAAACTAAACCGATTAATCAAGCTGATCGAAAAAAAGTACTCACCGATCGGTGAGAGAAGCCCTAAAAATTTTACATAGTTTATTAAATAGCGACGTGCATCTTTTAAAGATTAGAGACACGATTGTCTCTAATCTAAATTTTAAACGTATGCGTACTAAATATGCTGATAATTTACACTAGATAAAATTAATATTTATTCTGTTGCAACCTTGGGGAGACTAAAAATGTGCATAATTATAAGCCAAATAAAAAAAAAAACTTTACAAAGGTGATAAAGATACGCCAAGTATATAAATGTATAAAAAACTATTTGTTCAAAAATTAATTAACTGAACAAAAATAAATATGAGATCAATACAATTTTGAATGCTATGAAGGATAGAATGATATTTGTATCGACTTGTATCACTAAATGAAAAGCACCCTTTATTTTTATCGTTCATTAGATATGAAATAATGACAGAATATGACGCGGTAGTGCTAACGCGAAGCGCGCCCCTCGAACACGACTTTGTCGCGGAAAAGCGATAACAAACTTCGATGTACAGTCGTGGACAAATTATAGGTTGCGATACTTTTTTTTTATAGGTTTCGAAACGCACTAACATTTTGCAAATGCGTACCACGATTAGTGTACTTATTGTTAGTACTATCTGTAATCTATAGAGACAGTATAGAAGTACTATTATCTTTACACTAGAGCTAGCACACCAATCGTGGTTCGTATTTGCAAAATATATTAGTGCAAAATATATAAATATATATTTTGAAATCCATAAAAAAAGTATCGTACTGTATATATACAAGGTGCATCTTAAATAGCGCCTAGTAATAATATAACGTTATTTCTTGTAAAAAAAACTGAGTCGAAAATCCTAAAACATTTTTTCCTACAGTGCTCAATGACGCGATTATTAATGCAGTAATTACTGTTTCAGTGAGCATTGTAGAAAATAATTATTTTTAAATAACGCTCACTATAATCATATAGCGCTATTCCTTGTTAAAAAACTGAATCATAAAGTCCTGAACCATTTTTTTCTACACTTACAATAAAGCTGTAATTACTGCTCTGTAATTGCTGCATAGAGATCATGTCATTAATAATTATATAATTGAAAAAAATTATTTAGGACTTTATTCAGTTTTTTACAAAGAATCACGATATACAATGAATGGGCGCTATTCAAGATACATCTTGTATATGAGTAATCGATTTAATTACATATGTCCCTAGAAAGGCTTAGTATCATACGAGTATGATAAGTAACTCGTCGGACGAGTTTTAAGCGTGGATAACATTTTGTATCATTAATCGACTTAATACTTTAATCAACGTTCTGTAATTATTTAATTATAGAGTAATTCATCGTACGTTTTTTCTTCTTTAATTTTCATTTATGTATACTTTTGATCAATTTACAATCCGTATTTATCAAGCCCATTTCTAGTATTATTTATTTACTTATTGCTAGTATATTATATTCATTTCTGTCTAGACACTGTTATCTGATATATTATTGATTATGTTTTATTATAATTAATTATTTATATTGTCTTGGAAAAAAACGAGAAATATCAAAATATAATAAAATGCAAAACAATTAATTATCACTAGACTGATAGTCTCGTATCAGACCGCGTCATCAGACTGACAAATAAAACTAATTTAAAAATTAATTTAAAAACAAATTTTGTCGAAGTCAAATTATGTAGCACGTAACGTATATTGATGTTCGCCAGCATGACTTGTACTTTTTTTTTTACTAAAAGAAAGTAGATAACCTATACAAGCAAGACATGGTAAGGCAGAATGACTATGGAAGAACAATAAATAATTGCAGACAATTTGACATGATGATTCATGTCGAAGAAGGAATTTTAAACACCAAGTATTATACATATGTGAGAATTCTTCAAAGCATTCCCTTCTTTTGCAGTCGTCACTCGAGTGTCAGTGCGTCAAGTTGATAACGTTTGACAGTCAAGGTCTGCAGAGAACGAGGAAGAATTTCTTCAATTTTTGTCAGTCTATATTTACATTAATCACTGTGTAACATGAATTTTATAAATTAATTCAAATTATATGTACAAGAGGTAAGCTCCATTTTTTCAACTTTCTTCTTTCTGAAATTAATTCTTCTATGCTCCCGTTCCATTTAGAATTTATTATAAAAAATTTAATTTTGCTGAATGTAAGAAAATGAAGCTAAAGAGAATTCGTAATAAAAAAATGCGTGTTGAAACGTTAATTGTATTAAATAATACTCAAATCTTAAAAATTGCTCCATAAGTATACGGTGAACATGATTTTTTTAAAATATCTTGTTTTAGTGAAGAAAATTTCAACAATTTGTATTGTTTAACTAAACACACATCGTGAGAATAACTAGCACAAATGGCAGAAGTAAAACAACACTTTACGGAGATAAAACTCACTGTACCCTGGGGTCACGTTGCTGCCAGAACTTACGGCTCTTCCACAGGAAAACCAGTCTTAGTGGTGCACGGTCGTCTAGATAACGCAGGCTCGTTTACTAGATTAATGCAGTATTTGCCGAAAGAATTATTTTATTACGTATGCATAGATTTACCCGGCCATGGATGGTCATCGCACTTTCCACCTTGGATGGTATTAGACAGTATGGACTACGCACACGCATTATATTTCATTTTGGAAGCGCTACAGTGGAAAACGTGTATTTATATAGGACATAGTATGGGAGCGCAAATAGCTATACTGTTCAGTATTCTTCAACCAAACAGAATCGAGAAGTTAATTGCTATCGACGGGATTCTTGTAAAGCCTGAGTTTATTAAAGAGTTCACAACGTATTTGGAGATCGCATCTGCATCCTCAGTAAAAGCTTATCACAAGAATGAAGAACCGTCGTCTTTTACTAAAGAAGAGATATTACACGCTCTTAAAAATATGAGGTTCGGAGCTTTAAATTCCGAAGCTGCTGATGCAATGTTCGATCGTGCAGTTACGAAAGTAAATGGGAAGTACATATATAACAGAGATATACGATTAAAAAATAATCCTTTTACATATATGAACACGAAAGAATTTAAAAAGATTAATAACACAATTTCAATTCCAATACACCTTATTGCTCCATCTCAAGGTGTTTTTTTTCCATTTATTAAAGACCCAGCATTGGAAATATTGAAAGGGAAAACCCTATTGGACGTAATTATTGTAAACGGAAATCATGACGTTCATAATAATAATCCTGAAAATATCGCGCCATTTATATGTAAAATATTGAATAACTATTCCAGCAAGCTATAGACAAGTTGCATACTTTATATGCATGCACGCGCAAAACTAAGTAAATATTTATTTTTTGTACTACTTGTACGCACTTTGCATTTCACAATATGTATGTTAACGTTAATGTATGTTAATTCTTATTTCAACCTGATAAAAGTATTTTTTTTAATAATAAGTGTTTGTATTTATGCATGTACAATTTTTACACTTATTTGAATATTAATTTTTTTCACATTATTCTACAATATATACAAAGATATAAGGTCGTAAGGTAAAATAGAGAACGTAATATTAGTAAAAAATATTGTATTGCCTGCGTAAAAATTGTATTTTCCATACAAAATTGTACAAAATTGTAAAATAGTTTATTCTTGTAAATTTTCACAAATTTAATATTATAATTTTCACTAAACCTTTCATTTGGTGGACTTTAATTTTTACTTCCTTACCTCTCAGAATGATATCTCTCAGTTCATCTTCGAAAACGATCGCCGTATGATTCATAAAAGAATCATTCTTCTTTGTATCGTGTACATGATATGGACTCAGCTGAACCTTGTACCAACATATTAAGGCATTTGGTAAAATTTTCCCTTCTTTGTTACTTATTTCTCCAAAATTCACAATTGTTTCGGTAGTCTTGGTCTCATTTATTTCTACCAATATTCGCGCATCAGACATAATCTCACATGAATATAAACTCGAATTCAAATCAAATATTTGATTAATCTGTAGCAGAATAAACATGGAAATGAAAATTGACATCTTCAATAATCTAAATAGACTTAAAAAGAAACGTACGGTTTACCTTATATTTATTAATGTATTCAGCGATTACATAATTTGTACTTTTATTTACTTTACTGGCTATATTATCCCGCACATGTAGACCATCTTCGCTGTCCGAACTCTGAAAAGAAAAATATATTCGTTCATTTTACTGCCATTAAGTAAACTGTGTACAAAATTTTATTTTTAATAATTATACTTTCTCGTAAGATCATATCTTTTATTAAATATAAGTAACATAATTAAAAATATCGCATCGTTATACCGTATCAATAGAAGTAGGGAGTGAAGATGATCTTTGGAGATTTATATCTTGTACATAAACCATATTTGGTAAATCTTCCGAGTATACTAATTGTCCCACAAGGAAAATCTTTTCCGGCAACAATACGCCGTTTGGCTTGAGTAACTTCCTAAGACAATAGATGATAACAGATTTTAATATCTTTTATATCAAGCATGCAATACAAATATTACACACAGTACAGTGTAGTACCTGAAAATTTCACAGCAGCTATCTTGATCATCTTTCAATTCACCCTTAATGTCAAAATTATGAATAAATATGGAATCTAGAGAGCATGGAATTTCCTCAAAGTTCGATATCATATGTACTTTCCCTTGCAGTCCGCTATCACGGGCTATTTGTTCAATTAGAACACGTAGCGTTGGATTGTCAGTTTTGTAATATAAAATTTCACTATCTTTACATTCCTTTAAATAGGTCAATCCGTATATCGGAAAAGGCGAAGTATCCAAAATATATCTCATTTTTCTATTCTCTTGAGATCTACCGAGTTCCGTGAGCAATTTGACGTAATCGAAGTCATTCAGAAAGGTAATGACTTCCTTCGGCAAATGATACAAAGTTGTACAATTCTCGTTGTATCGCGCATTACCCGCGCTATAAGAGCATTTCAGTTTGCCCTTCAAAGTTTCCACTTTTATCGTCAAGACATCGCCCTCTTGACAAACGGTCGGCACAGTCGGGAAAACAGCGAATTGCCAACAGGACTTTCCATCCGAGGAGTCAAGCGTAATCTCCTCGTCAAGATGCAACTTGAACCAAGTGATTAAACCATCTATAATACCATCGTATCTACATTTCGTTTGTAGCATCTGCTTTATCCCATCCTTGCAGAATTCATACAGTTCTAGCAAATCGTTAAAATTCACGCTAAACAGCAGTTGCGGCTCTGTGACGTAATTAATTTGAACTCTCTCCAGGTTTTCGGTATCGTAGTACTCGTCGTCCGACAGTACGGATACATTGTCGAAGTTTAAAGGACAGTGGCCTTTTATTCTGTCGAAAATCACCGACGATCTGTATCTAATGTGTTCGCATTCAATGACTGCTGTGTAAACCGTCGCGCCCATAGGTATTACCATACCATTTAAATCTAAAATGTTCATGTGCACGTTAATCATAGATGGTATTACAAGCTCTCCAAATAAGCCAGCATCAAACGTTTCAGTCACTATTAACTTTACTCTAGAATTACAGGTATATGATTTTAGTATTAATCGATATGCGTAATATTACAATTTACTAATGCGAATAATTTTTAAACGATATATAAGCATATACTGCACTCTGCGCACGTACATACATATATAACATACATATACACAAACCTTTCTGGAATATCCACAGGTACTTTGAGGTCGAACGACAGTTTTGGTATTAAATTTATGTCAGTCGCATTGTTGGATTTAAATACTTCCTTCGCAATCAGCGTCATCGCTTCGGAGCATTCGCATGCGTAAACCTTTGCGGCCCCAGCATCTCTGGCATACAGACTCAAGAGACCTGTACCAGTCCCTACGTCCAACACTGTATCGTAGCCCTGACTGACTCTCTTACGTATAGCGCGCTCAAAAGCGTTGTTTCTCTGCTTGTCATTGAGCATTGTGAAATGCCACCTATCCACCGCCATACTATATGCATTTTGCAGGTTTCGCTCTGCCGGTAGAAAGTTAACGTCAACTTTCAAAGCTCGCTTTAAATATTGTATCGCCCGTATGGGATCGTTATTCCTTTAACAAGTATATATGATACTCTATGAGTCTTTTTTAGGTCAGGAAAATATAGTCATTATATAATTTATTCTGAAGGCAATTGAAAAATTAACATTCATGATGATGTGGTGATTACCTTAACAAGTGCGCTGCAAAATTATTCAACATACGAGGATTGTTTGGGTAAATATTCAAGGAAAATTTATAGCACTTCACAATATCTGAAAATTTGTTGTTTTTCGCTAACTGCATTCCCCATTCACCTGAAAATTAATTATTATTATATGAAAATATATTTTTTGTTCTGTAAATATAGATTGCATGGGTATGTATATGTGTATCTTACAAAGCACATCTGTAAACGTTTCTTCGATTTCTGATCTCCGTGCAGACAGTTCCGCAAAGATGGAATAATATACAAAAGCTTTCCCAACATTTCCGATCCTGTCATATTCTCTGGCTTTTTGCAGTGATTCCTCCAATATGCCATTTACTTTTGCTTGCATTTTGCATCGATTAACTATTTCTTTATCTTATTTGCCTGGATCAAATTGACTTTAAAAAACTTAAAATTATTGTTATCAATTCACGATTGAGAACAATCAACATTGAGGATAACTTTAATTATAAATATTACACGTAGAAATGCGTTAAATGCGAAATTAATCTAATGTTTGTTTACACTTCAATTCGTATTGAAAAACTGTCAACTTTCTAAAAATACATCGCAACGAGAAAGAAAGAGGGCGCGAATTTTTGCTATAAATTAATAAAGAGCGCGTTCCTAAAAGCGTCCAATACAGAGGCTCAAACGCCTCAAATGTTACTGAATTTTGTCCAATTTCAAAATATGTTCATCATAAAAAAAAAACAAATATTAAAAATTATTCTTTCGTTTCGCACAAAAACTCATCATATGAACATAGTTTCATCGATATTGGAACAGAATTAACCTCAAAAATTATTCCTGTCATATTATTAGCTTACTATTTTCTATGTCAAAAAGAAAATGTATTCACGTAAAGGAAAACAAAGAAAAGAAAATTATATAGAAGGTTCTATATATAAAATGCAATTGCAAGAAGTGGATTTAATAAAGAGAATAAATCAATAACAATTTAATTCTAATCGTGTTACTTTTGCCATATTATACCGACACAAAACTAATCGAAATTTCAGTTGTCATCGTTCATATTTGTAAAAGATACTTACTCATTAATTAGATACAACGTAAATACAGCTTATTTCTCGCAATTATTATAACGCATAATTCTCGCATCAACTGACAATTCCTGCCCGTTCTGTTTACAATGAATAGTGACAGCGGGATTTAATCGGGATACGCCATCGTTTGGCACATTAGACAACGATATCGCCACAATCTGATAAAGATTTACCGAGGACATCATGCAGATGTCACTAAAAGTCACTAAACGTGCCAACGCTCGCGCTGCTGTCACATTTCAATGCGAATAAAATGCAATATAACCTGTACTGTGTGTTTGACAACTGTTTGTCAACAAAATGACACTAATTGAATATAATTGCTGAATACCCGATCGCAGTAAGTACTGTCGTATTAGAGAAATAAAGATGTCTCACGGTAAGGACAGATATTGCCTTAAACAGATTCTTAATGTAACGTAACGTTTGACGTTTGACAGGCATTTTGACAGATAACCAAGGGAGAGTTTCCAGTTGGAGATTAGTTTTGAGACTTATCAGATTTTACATATCGTTTGTCTTGGAAAAGAAACAAATATTCAAGAATCTTTGGTACTATGCTGATTGAGCATAACATATAATACTACTAATCAAATTAGTGTCAATCAAGATCTTTGCCTAGCACCTTGTAAATCTAGAAAAACAAAAATGTTGAACCGCTTTAAGTCAGTATTAATGAGTGCTGTGGGCGCAAGCGAGCTTGGCCTGCAGTACCCTAATGATTCGGATAATGATATGACAGACTACATTAACTCCAATTATGTGGTGGAAGTGGAAAATAAACCTTACAGCCGTCCAAGTTTTCTCGGCTTGACAGCTGAAGAAACACAGGTATTTCCAGATTCTCGTGCGAATTATATAATAAATTGATTTTTATGCATTTTTGAACACTGATAATATGATTGTATAATGATACTTGTCTAAAAAAAAAAAAACTGAATTTATCAGAAGACTATATTAAATAGGTGAGTGCAGATCACAGAGTAAGGCCTATAATAGTTCCGAGAGACCTTAGCCGTTTGCCATGGTGTGCTGGCTATGCAGAATGCATAAATGCTGGGAAGAGTACGTGGAATGAGGATCAAGCCTCAGCGACACGCGGAGACTTGAAATTATCGGACGTTAACGTTACACTGCCTTATGTCATGTTTTCAATGTTTGACGGGCACGCAGGATATCAAGTGGCTCTTACAGCAAGATTACATCTACATAGGATAATCCTTGTATGTAACTTATGTTCGAGAAAATTATCCTCAGACAGATAATTCGATACGTACATTAATATTTTTAATACTAACTCTTTGAAAACACAGGAAAGGTTATTGGCTATACCAGGCAATATGCTATTAAACGAAGATGAAAATGAACTGATAAAGGGAAGGGATCTAGTTACGGGTGCTATAGAATTAGCATATAGACAAATGGATCAAATGGTGGAGATGCAAGCTCAAAATGGTGGTGGTGGTTGTACAGCTATTACAATTTTATTTCTTAATGGAAGACTTTATGCAGCGGGAGCTGGTGACTCGAGGTTATATTATAATTTATGTATATGTAGTATATTATTGATTAATTAAATATTTGTATACGTTTAAATATTTGTTTCTATATAATTACAGGGCTGTATTAGTTTTGGGGGAGGAACAACGTGCTCTTACTAGAGATCACACACCAGATTCCGAATCAAATCGTGTTAGAGCTTTAGGTTTTTTAAGAAGCAACGAATTGCTCAAAGGTCACTTCACCCCGTTGGAATTTAGAAAGAGACCATTGCAGAAGGAACTGGGATCTATGGTTTTGTACAGAGAACCTTTTATGACAGGTTGGGCATATAAAACCTTAACGCATCCTGATCTAAAATTACCGCTCATCTCGGGTCACGGAAAAAGGGTAATATTATCGCAATAATTTTAGCAACAATTTATAACTTTAAATTAGAGTAATGGGTCTCTCGAAACTATTATAGGCCTTACTCTGTGATCTGCACTCACCTATTTAATATAGTCTTCTGATAAATTCAGTTTTTTTTTTTAGACAAGTATCATTATACAATCATATTATCAGTGTTCAAAAATGCATATAAATCAATTTATTATATAATCTTGTAATGCTATAAATTAATTGTTCGCGACGTATAGAGCAGAGTAATGGGAACGATAGGCGTGACTAGAGGCTTTGGAGATCACGGTCTGAAAGCGGCAAATACCGGCGTTAATATCAAACCTTTCCTGTCGTCGCAGCCTGAAGTGCAATCTTTGGATTTGGACAGTTGCAATCTTACCGAGCGAGATTGCATTATTGTCGCCACGGACGGACTTTGGGATGTAGTATCAGACAGAACAGCGGCAGCAATACTTAGAAAGACTCTTGCACCTGATACTCCATCATTAGAATATAGGTATATTATCGCGAAGTATAAAATTAATTGCAATTTTTTAGTAAAACAGTTTTAATAAAATACGAATGTATATCCTTTGGTTTTCATAGACTGACAATGGGTGCTCAAGAATTGGTGCAAGCGGCAAGAGGTCGATTAATCGGTAGAGTATGGATGGGAAAACCGGAGAATCCTAACGAAACGGACGAAAAATCCTCACCCATAGCATCGGTGGATGATATTAGCGTGTTAGTAGTACCTTTATATCCTTATTTATGCGAGCATAAGCAGTGGCTGAAAACAACGCAGCAAGAACGTAAATACGCCGCGGATTCCCTAGCAACAATATGCTACGACTATCCTCTTTCTAATAGATCCACTGATAATCCTGCATAATAATGAATCGTTGGGGTTATCTGAATGCTCCGCGTGAACCAGTGACAAATGTTATTATTCAGCTAATTACGCAGCTAATTAAACGAATTACACTTATCCGCATTATTATGAATTTCATCGTCTGTCCACGATGATTTTTATTTTGTCATAGAATAATTAACGATATTTAAGTGCACGGTTGCCGTATATCCTCCACGGTTTCAACGTTTCTCTTTGCAAAATATTAAATTATTGCATACTGCCACATATATATGTTGGCTACAAATGGCTATGTTCTTATTATTTAACTAAACATTCCACTGTGACATTATTTTATGCGTAACATAAAGTATCTACAATATTCCGAATATATTTGATATTTGTGATCGTATATAAACACCTTATATGTAAGCACTAATTTCTGAATGATTACTACTGTGTTAACTAGTACATACATGTTGACTATACACAATGTAATGTTAAAAGATATGAATATTTTTATATTGCTTTTGAGGCAAGCATACGTTACCATTCAATATTTTGAGCGTATTATTTCATTTTTATAGCTTTATGTTAAAAACATTCACTCTATGACTACGAACGTATGTGTGTATGTATATGTATATATTCAAAATTAAGAATGCTGCGTTAAAAACAAGCAAGATTTCAAGTCGACAATTAATTCTCTTTACATATATTTTGTTACTATTGATTTATTGCAATCTATATCGATATTTCTTTTCATTAGAAATATTAGAAACGTCGTAGTCAAAGAGTTGACAGATGATGTATGATACGAGTGATCTATGCGTGTGTAAAAAATTGTATATAAATGAAAAAGGCATTGCTACCTTTTCGCAGTATACCGCGATAATAAACTGACTTTACAACATCATGTATTACATAAGTGTAACTATATTATATTAAATAAATATACGACTATCAATCTATATCGTATGCTTACTCACTTTGGTTTCAGTAATTTTGAAAGAAATTTTTCACAAGGCATGCACGATCATCCCTTACAGAAACCCAACTTAATACTGAAAATTATTTACTTTGAGTATTAAAAAAGCATTTTGTTGCTCAACAGTTTTAATATTTCAAATATGCAATAAGTAATTTATACAATCACCACCTTCCAGTATTAAATTTCTGTGAGAGACATCATCACGATGACTTAAATACGATTTAACCTACTTGTAATGTAGGCCACTCTCAATTCCTTTGGATACGAATTATTTTTGCGTCATGTAACATCGAGATGTGTGCTCGTCGGAAGTGTGCAGGATCGGTTTCCAACCATGGCACGATGCTGCGTCGATCGCGATCGATGAAACGGCGAGGTAGAATGCATTCCGGTTGTTAGCGAGGTTAAATGCAGGTTCCGGTGATCACCTGTTGTTGAAACCGGCGATGCCAGACGAAAATTCGCACTCGTCGCGAACGAATAAACTCACAATCCTCGCGGATCAACTACGGAGCGACGGAGTTTTACGTTCCGAACCACTCGCCGCGTTCGCGCTACCGAAACTGTCATGGCGGCCGGCGCTTGCGCGGTGTCGATCGTCGCGGCGATTCGAGACTCGATATCGAGAGTATCGAGAGTATCGAGAGGAGGTAATCTGAAAACGTGAAAGTTAGCAACAAAATGCTTTTTATCTTTTCTCAGCAAACTATGATGACGTTCATATTACAATTGCACAAACTTTAAAGGTTAACTTCTCTATTTTAATATCACAAGGCTCACGTTCGTAGCGGAATCTGTACATGTAGACAAAACGTTAACTACGTATAGCCGTGTCAAGGAATGTTACCAATGAATAACACACGTTACCGATGTTAATTACATACAGATATAAAGGAAAGTCTGAACATAAAAATGTCCTGCGCGCGTTTAAATGAAATCCATCCACCAACGCCTCAATGTGCATATTAAACTACACGTAGCCATATGTATATATATATTCTTAATTTACAAATAAAATTTAATCGAACAGATCGGAAGAGCACACG